CGCAGGTGTTGGGGGGTGTTGGGGGAGGGGTGCAGGTGTTGGGGCCCCTCCGCCAGTCTCATGGCACAGCTGCCCACGGCGATCTCGGGTCCAGCAGGCAGCTCTCCCAGGGAGGCTCCGGGACCCCCCCACCCCCTGCCTTGGACGCATCAGGCCCCACTTCACTGCATCTGCTTGGCCTGCGGCGGCACAGGGCCGGCGCTCCGCCTCAGAGTCACCGCCCCCGACACCCCGACGAAGGGGCCCACCCAAAGCGACACGCCCCTGCTGTCCCTGCTCCTTGGCTGCAGGCACCAAGCCCCAGGCTGGAGGCCCGTGGCCGGCTGCAGGGCGTGCCGCCCCCTCACCTGAACGCTGTGAGCTCCACTTTCTCGTGGTCGCTGGTCACCAGCTCGGGGATGAGCGACAGGTGGGAGATCTGGGTGGCCGCCCAGCCGAACTGGAAGATGACTATGAAGGGGATGAAGTAGACGAGGGCGGCCCACTGGGGCGTGGCCTCTGTGCAGCCCAGGCAGGGGTTGAAGATGAAGGGAAAGGAGAGCAGGACGCAGACAGTCCCTGGGGAGGCAAGAGAGAGGAGTCAGGGCTGGCCGGGAGGTTTCCTGGGTACCACACGTCAGCAGAGCCAGCAGGGCCCATGGCGTTCCAGGACGCACAGCTGGCACGGCAGCCTCTGGAAACCAGATCGACACTGCGGGAAGCACCTCTGTGCAACTCGCGGCAGCCCTCTGCCAGGGCACCTTCTCAAGTGGCACCCGCAGCCCCGGCGTGGATGAGCTGAGCTCTGCCTGTTGACAGGTTCTCCTACCCGTGCAGTTCCCACATGAGCAAGCCCCAGTACATGGGTCACACTAGGGGCTGGACCTGGTTAGGAACAGACTCGGTTCTAGGGAGGCGAGAACCAACGTTCCCTCCAATTTTCCCATCCACGTGTGGAATCATTTTTGCTATATGCACCGAGGAATGAGCAAATGTGCACCACCAGGATAAACACGTGCTGCTGGCTGTGGGCACTTTGCTCATCAGCAGGGCAACATTGGACTCTCTCCTGGGCAACGGCCCAAGCACTCGGCTTCCTGGGCACGCTGGTGAGAGCAGCACTTAGCCCCCGGCGTTGCTAGCTTCGACAGCTGCTGCCTGCACCCCCGACAGCAGGGCTCTGCCACTGCCAGCAAGACGCAACGGCTGAGCGTTCCGCCAGCGAGGGCAGAGATCTCGGCCCCAGAACTCTCCTGAGACGGACGGACGGCGGGACAGACGGAGCCCAGCTGGCTCCCCGCCCCCTTGAGCACTTCCCAGGGAGGGGCTCAGCCTGGCTCACCCCGCATCACAGAGAAGGAGCCGGGCAGTGGGTGGGTGTCGGAGCCAGGATGAGAACCCCTGACCTCCCCTCTGCCCAGCCTGGGCCTCGCCCCCCCCGGCCAAGGGCAGCGCAGACAGACAGACGTCTCCTGTGAATGGACCCACAGGCTGATTATTCCCCCTGCCCTGCAGGGCGCTGGCTCCAGCCCATCCATGGAGCGGTCGCAGGAACTGCTCGGGAGGGGAGCATGGAGCGCGCCCCCCCGTGGATCCGACCCCTCAGCACTGGCTGGTAGCGGAGGGCTGGTCCCCCCACCCAGCCCCCTTCTGGCCCATTTTGTCCCCCCCCCCCCCCCCGCCGCGAGCCCCCAGAGCAGGCCTTGCTGCGGGCAAGGACACAGTCACCGTCTCTGGGAGCAAGGAGGGTGGCGCATGGGCCATTTCCTGCAGCTGCTGGAGCAGGCCGGAAGGGCTGGGAACCACAGCAGGCA